AACAAGTTTGGGGGAAGCTGAGAGGGGACTGTGGGCACATCTGCAGCCCAGAGATGTTGACTCACCACAGATAACATGTTGGCCAGGGCAGTCCCCAGGTAGGCTGCAAACAGTGCTGGAAGAAAGAACCGAACATAAATATCCAATAACTGTTTCACAGCTTCTCAGGCTTGGTCGACATATTTTCTCTTCATTAATTTTATGCCACTAATGCTATCTCAGATTTAAAAAAAAAATCACTGAGTTATGTTTTCATTGCTTGGCAGGTTTAAAAGTGTTAAATTCCACGCAAACACCAGTACAGCTAAGTCGGCAGATGAACTTTGTTAAAAAAGGCCAGAATTTGGCTGTTACAGTTCTCTTGGGCCCCACCACCTTGCATTCCAGTAAAGGAACATTTAACAGCATAAACCATAAATGAAAATTTTACTATACAGCAAAGGCAAGCGAGTCCCCGAACTCCCTGCTGGAGTATTTCATGACAAAGCATTAACATAATATGGGCTTCCAGGGAGAAGCCGCATTCTGTCAGCTCTTGGGGCACCAAATATTGCTGACGGCCTTGACTTCTGGGTGCTGGAGAGGAGGGCCTGACCATGCAGCCAGAAGCAGGTGCTGCCAAGGGGTGAGAAGTGATGGAAATGGGCCGGCGTAATTGGGCTCTGCCTCTGAGCCCTTCACTTCTCAACAGAGAACGTCCCAATTGTCCCTAGGACACCGACAACAGCGAACCCATAATAGTCACCGTGTGCCCCCTTAGTAGGAACACCAACCATGTCCCTCAGCGTTCCTATGATGGAAGCACTATTATTGTCTTTATTTCACAAATGAGAAAACTGAGGCTCAGAGAGCTTTCATAGAGCGACCGTCATGCCGTCTCTGAGTTGGAGGAGTCCCTGTTGTTTGGGGTAGGGTTTCAAGATGGAAGCGAGGAGAGATTAAGAGATGACCTCTATGAGGAGGTCGCAGGCATGCAGTCGTTGCATGCATCGCACCTGCCAGTTTCTTTCAGAGGGAACAGGAGAAGCCCAGGCATCCTTTGTGTCATTTGAACCCTGGTTAATTAATAGAGGTTACTGACTACTGAGAGTTCAAGGGACTTGCCTAGGACCATACGGCTGACAAGTGACTGAGCCCTGGCCACCTGATTCCAAGGCAGGGCTCTTACCCACTGTACCCAGCGACCTCTCAGGGCTGAGGTTAGAAAGAGCAGGGCAGATGGAAGGGTCAGAGGTCAACCCAATGCCACCTGACCCCCAATTATAGGGGAGCCAGAAGGCTGAGTGGGGCTCTGGGCGTGGCCGGTGAAGAGTGGAGGGTGAGGCGGAGGCTGAGGTGGAGGCTGAGTTGGAGGCTGAGGTGGAGGATGAGGCGGTGCCCTGAGAGCCCAACACATCAGATTCAGCTATTGGCCCAGGAGCTGGAGGAGTTATTCTCAGATTTGATATCTTTGATCAAATTTGATCTGTTACCAACAGGAAAACTCTCGGAAAACCTTATGTCTGCTCATCTGCAGTTGCAGTCCTGCATTGTGAGGAGGGAGGAGGAAGGATAGACAGAAGAGAGGGCGGAGGACATGCAGCCCGTCTGGGTTGAAGGGAGGGAGAACTGTCTGTCCTGTGGAACAGATAGAGCAGGCTGCGATGGAAGGAGCCTTCCACCTCGCCTGTCTTGTCCCTCTCTGTGTGACTGCAGAAAAGGACCATGACTATTCTGGATCTTTCAGCCCGAAGAGAAAGCGCTGGCTTCAGGAAGGAGTCTGATCCCCTCCAAGGAGCACAGACATAGTCTTTACAGACCCCATTTTGGGCAATGTATTTTGCTCCCTTTAGCTTCAGTTCCCCACCTGTGAAGTGGGGGTGGTAATCGGACCCACGTGGTTTGAAGTTGTAGTGAAGACTGAATGAGGTGACACGTGCCAGCTTTCACAGCCGTGGCACATGGACAATCCTTGTTGTGGAGGCTAAAATGTGTCTGTGTTGTAGGGTGTTTACCAGCAGCCCTGGCCTCTACCCAGGAGATGCCAGTAGAAATCCCTTCCTTCCCCTAGGTGTGACAAATAACAATGCCACCAGACATTGCCAATTTCCCCAGGTAAGGGGGAAATCGCCCTTGGTTGAGAATCACTGGTGTAACATCTGACATGTCAACCTTTGTGGAGGGTGGAACTCTGGAGAGGTGAGGGAGGTATAAAATTTAAGGTGGCCTTCAAGCTCAGGATCATGGACACATGTAGACCTCATCACCTGCAGGACACTGACAGTGAGCAACTCCTGCAGTTTTGCATTTGAGCTGCCTCATTTGTCACATCCTCATCCTGGCCCTGGTTCTTTGAGGAATTTTTTTCACCTTCACAAAGTGGAAAAAAAAAACCAACCTCAGAGAGCTGGTAGTGTAGGCTAGCCAGGTGACACTTAAAATGCCTCTTTAGTGCTAAGCTTATTTCGTCAATATGAGCAAATAAAAGTAATTTCATAAGTACCTACAGGGCCTGGCTTAACAATGGAGATTTTTGGGATCACAAAATAATTTTTAAAAGGAAGGAAGAAAAAGACAGCAGCACTAACCCTTCACACCTACTTTAGGGTTCTCCTTCTTCATGTTTGCAGTGATTATCATAAAGTACAGAAGAAAACATATCTTGGGGGCTAGGGTTGTGGCTCAGTGGTGGAGCGCTTGCCTAGCACATGTGAGGCACTGGGTTTGATCCTCAGCACCACGCAAAAATAACTAAATAAAAGAAAGATATTGTGTCCATCTACAACTAAAAAATAATAAAAAAGGAAAAAGAAAATATATATACTAATTATATTAAGGAAACAAGTCGATGGTGATATCTGATCCAGAACATCTTCCCCAGAAAAGAATATTTGGGAAGCTTTTGATTGTAAACTTATTCTTTAAGTTAATGGAGATTATATTCCGGAATCTATGCTGTGCTGAAGTGACATCTCTGTTTTAAATCTCTGTTTCAAAAGGAGTTTTATTTGGTTTTCCTTCATAAAACATCAAGAAATAAAAAATGTTCAAGGATGAAAATGTAAAAATATGCCAATTGTTATGGTTAATCTAAGTTCCTGGGATACTGAGCATGTAACTCAGAGGGATCATTTGAAAGGATTATGATCAATGTTTGGATGTTTAAGTTTCAATGCTGTATGTGATGTAAATCGCCAGATTTCATGTGTAAGGATTAACTTGCTTAAAAGACACTTGTCAGCTCCAATCACTATTCAGGAAATTCGCAGTTCAACAATGAAATAATTCAACAATGAACTAGCCATAACCTCAAAACAAACCTGCCTCCATGAGGCTGAAACATTGTGTCCATGGAGAAAATAGTTTTGCATGTAACCACTTGATCCTCCGGCAGCTATTGAAGACAGTTTTAACTAAAAGCCCAGCTATAAAGCAAACAGATCCCCCTATTTATCTTTGGGGAGTTAGCAGAATTTTCACAGGGTGGATCTTTTATGGAGACACTGTCAGAGGTACCTACCACAGGCAATGGCCAGGAGGTGCGTCTGCCAGGTGATGACGTAGAACATGCCTCCGATGGCGATGCACGCCAGAGTGCTGTTGAAGCCACACAGGCCGAAGTAGATGGCGTCAAAGGGCGTGGCAATGCTGAGCGCTGGGAGAGAAGGCAGGCGTCAGTACTGAGTCACGGATCCTATGGGGCTCTTGCGCCTGTCCCACACCCACCACACACACACACACACACACACACACACACACACACACACACACACACAAAAGGACTTCTGATTTTATTCAGTGAAACTACATCTAAAACAGAATAAATGGCCACAGGGCTACATCAATTCTAGTGGCTAAGCTGTTAGGAGCTGCAGAGAGCCTCTGATAAAAGACTCTGAAATCTGATTTAAACAGACCAGAGAATGTCCTTTTCCTGCCAAAGAGAAAAAGGAAGAAAGAAAGGAAGGAAGGAGGGAAGGGAGGGAGGGAATCGTTTTGCAAACAAATCCAACTCCTTTTTGTCATTGGGGATGATAAGATTTTGAAAATGCCTAGAGGAAATCTCTCCCAAACTTTATTTATTTTTTTTTTATTGTTGGTCGTTCAAAACATTACACAGTTCTTAATACATCATCTTTCACAGTTTGATTCAAGCGGGTTATGAACTCCCAACTTTACCCCGTATACAGATTGCTGTATCCCATCAGTTACCCTTCCATTGATTGACATA